CCCCCCGAGTGAATAGTAAATGTCATTTTACTTGTCCAAGAATATTCGCAAATCTGGATCAGCTTCTTCAAAAAACCTTTGGCTGGAAATATTTTTCAGGTTAGATATGCCCAGAAACGTTAGTGAAAAAAAATGATGTTATTTCTTTCCCGTTTAAGCTGTAGTGTTTAGAACATGGACCGAAAGTATAGTACACCTTCCTCTTCTATTTGGCTGTGCTTAGGCCTTTGACACTGCTATATCCACATTAATTCTTTTGTGTAGGGGGAAGGAATGGATTAATAAATAAGTGTGGGAAAACAGGGAAATGAAACACTAAGGAACTTTTTTATTTTCAGTTGTGTTCCAGGGGATGCTGATTTTCTTCTTTGCAGACGGAGACTTCAAGACAAAGTATTTTCACAAGGTTTTCCATAGCTTTTCTTTGTAATATTTTTTTTTCCCTCTGCAAACTATTTTCAATTTAAAAGTGACTGGGTGTTAGAGATAACGGAGCTAATATGGATAGCAGCCCTGTGATTTATGAGCAGGGACAGAATAAGATGGGGTCCTTCCTGGATGGAAAAACCCAGGGGAGGTACGTGTGTGTGTGTGTGTGTGTGCGCTCCACATAGCTGGTATCATTTTGATGAACTCCTTCCTTAAGATCACAGTTGTGAAGTCTGAATGCCACCTCACCATCCTGTGTGGCATCAGGAGCCTGACACTGTTACTGATGAATCCTGCAGAGAGTGTAAGGAGACAGAGCAGTAAACAGCAGCTTGGTAGCTGTGGGCAGAGCAGGGACGGGGATGTACCAGCACTCAAAAACTTGCCAGCAGCTGAAATTGTTACTTAGGTCTTGGCTCAAACTGGTCTTTGGTTTTCCAGCTTTCCAGAGGACAGCAATGCCACAGCAGTACTAACCCTGCCGCCTGGGTAGGGAACTGGAGGATGAGCGCAGCAAGGGCAGTGTTCCCTGAAGTGCTCTGTGTTTGGGCAGTTCTGCTCTTCTTCTTGACACACGGAGTGATTTCTCCTTAGCTTCACTGGAACCAGGTTCATGCCAGCATTAAGCATAAAACGTTTATTGCAGTAACCAAACAACAGTGACTTAAAGCAGAATCGAACTTCATTCACAGTTTGGTGAAATAAAATGGAACAACCTCATTGCATTGCATTGCATTGCATTGCACAAATTGATGTTAAAATATCAGTGAATATTCACTTACAGTGAAATCATTCTGTAAATGAAACAAAGAAGACTTCACCATGCTCCAGCTCTGCATGTATTTTGTTTGCAGAATCGGACTCTGCTAGAATGACTCAGTAGAGATGCAGGCAGGCAATAAGAACAGCTATTAAACCAGTCCTTTTCTCCTCTTATGTTGCCCAAAGGGTGGTCTACCTCAGTTACCTCTGAGGGTAGCCTCAGAGGCTTGTGAAAACTCCTACTTGGTAGAGAAGATGGGAAAGCTCTAGTGGCAGAGCAAAGCCAGGAGCTCGAAGGCCCTTTTGAGGCTTGTGGCGTTCCCAGATGGAGACCGAAAGGAGGCAGCTGGAGGTACCAGGGGAAGGGGGCACGATGGGTGCTTTAGAGACCTGATGGGAGATGACAAGATGGCTCATATGGCTTGAGGGCAGGGGATGAAAGCAACAGAGCAAGGAATTGGTTTGGCTGAAATCACGTGGGCAAGGTAAATGGATGAATAAATACAGGAAAACCTATAACTTAGTTGTCTAAAATAGCTTATTAATTCATACAGGATGTATTCATTTTGTGGTTTTCTTTTTAGTTCAGTGGTTTTTTTTTCCTCTAGAGGGGATTTTGAATACTCAGAAATATACTGAGATTATATTGCATAGTATATAATAGTAAAACCTGCTTCAAGAAAACTGATACTACATTAAAAGACTTTCATTTAGTATGGAAGAGTGAAAGTCTTTAAAAAAAGGAGTCATTACGGATTTAGCTTTGAGTCTTGGTAAAGGTATAAAAACAAGCTCTTAAATACACAGTGGAGTTGATAAATGTCTGAATTCTGGCTGTTATCAGGGCCACACTTAAAGGGAATTAGGACTTGTCATCAATGCCAATTTTATGCAGTTTGCCACCATGAGCAGTGCAGTGTCAGGTAATTTTGCCTGGGCATGTCTGGCAGGTATTTCTCTGTGACTTCTCTTGTAAAAATCTGCTGTGCCACTTCCACCTTTACCATGTCACTTATCCACACACGGAAAGGTCAAAAAGTAGAAGGAAGTAAAAGCGATCTGTTCATGGTCTCTTAATGCACAGCTCAGGTGATGCAGCCTTTCTTATGTGCTGTGACACAGGGAAAAATTGTATCTGTGTACACTTAAAAATCAGATTTTTGAATTGAGGAACTGGGAAGAAAACCCATGGATCTTACCTGATTATTCTGTTACTTACTCCCTCCACAGTTTATGCATTTTGGAAAAAAATGTATTCATTATCCTCAGTGGTCCCTGCTGGTAAAGAACTGTAAACAGTCTCCCCAGCTGTGAAAGTAAACTGTACAGATGGCTACATTTGACATCACTGTAACTGACTCTATAGCTCATATAATATTTATGGAAACACCTTTATTTCTAAGCTCACAGACAGCAATCTTACCTAGAAGTAACTCATAGATATTTGTGTATAATTAATGTGAAATTGGTGCAGAAGAATTCAATCATATCCATGATCTAGTCAATATTTGAAGCAGTATAGGTTTTCTTATTCACGTTTCTGCTTCTGGCTGTACAGTTGCATTATTTTTTTCCCTGTAGTCACCTCCTAGTTTGTTTCTAGCTGGATGTAGCAGTTCATGGTCCACTGACCTGGGAGGAATTTTTAACACAAACAGGTGACTTGACAGTTGTATTTAAGACTTAATAACACAGAAAAACACCAACAGTGAGTCAAGGTTTGTCTTTTTTTTTTTTCACAGCGCACAAGCAGCTTTGGAAGCTTTGACCGTTTCAGGCATCACTCAGTATCAAAGACAGATGATTCAGCTGAGGTCTGTATAATGTGGAGTTTTGCTTTCTTCAGTTCACTTTCCCATGACAGTTATGCAAAGACATTGGGAAACTGTTGTGTAAATTTTACATTGGTGAGAACTTTGCTTATGTACCTGGATCTGTCTGGGTGATTGAGCCTTTGCCAAAATGAACAAGAGAATCACACCTAAACTTTGGTACTTTGATGGGAAGATTGGAAACAATTTTTCAAAATGACAAAAGTGCATTTCAGGTTAGTGCAGGGACAAAGTAACCAGCACATCTATGCAATCCACAGACATGTCGTTTTTGTTTTCAAGAACCTGCATAAATCCCCTCAATTCTTGTCTGGATTAAGGACAATAAACAATGAGAAACAATTTGTTCTAGCATAAAATATATTTTCTTTCTGTTATTCACACATTCAGTAGTGAACTGCAAACCTGTTTCAGTGCACGATTCCCCAGGAAAATGGCTGTGACTTAATTTTGTCATCCTAACTGCACTGGTGTCCTTAATATTTTTCTGTATTACCTATTCCACTACAGTGAATTTCATTTTCATGGTAAATTGTTGCTTACTTTTTTATTATGAATCAGGTGTCTGAGCTGGAGTCCATAAGTGACATTGGAGATGCAGCACAAACTAAAGCAGCAAATAATGGAGGAAGTTTGGGTAAGAAGATGAGAGCCATTTCTCTTACCATGAAGAAAAAGATGGGTAAAAAGTACATCAAGGCACTCTCTGAGGAGATGGTAAATACAGCTTAAAAACCTCATGTTTGATGATAATACATGTGAAGTAAAAATGTTATGTGCATTCTTCCTGTTCACTTTGCAGTTGTCATCATTTATGACACTCCATAAAAAAATAGTAACACATACTAAATTAAAACAGCTTTCAGTATGTACCCTTTCTTTCATGTGCATCTTAATGTACACACACATGCACATATACAATTAAAGCATCCCACAATAAGGGCACAAGATAGATGTAGAGGTTTTACATAACTGAATTTTGATTTGTAGCAAAAGGAATATTTGTATAAGCATCACCAAAAAAAATATCCTGGTCTGGACACAAGGGGATATTGGATGAACCCTATCAGCAGTCTGATGCTTCTTTAAAAGAATTTGTCTTTCAATATAGGAATTATTTCCAAAGTCCATTTTGTAGAGGACAGACAGCATCCTAGAGCATGACAACTCATATGCCTTATCTGCTTTTACCTTATCTAATCTTAGTGAACCTATCTTTATTAAACATAAAAACACATGATGTTTCACACACTGCAAACTCCGTTTTCTCAATATGCTGTGTCAGCGAGTTCCAAATTTTAAAATGCATAAAGAAAAAGGACTTGTCATACTTAATAATCCTAAAAAGTCTAGCTAGTCTGCATCCTATCTCACACAGGTGTCAATATCTAATAAGTAGGGAAAATAAATAAGGAACTTCACAAGTGTAAAATAATGTTTCACAGGATACCTTTAGACAGTTTTTGGAGGTCAAAGACAAGGATTCTTATTTCACTAGTTTATTTGCATTTTTTGCTAAGAGATTACAATCCATTATTTTTATATTATAAGAAAAAAATCAGAATTTCAACATTTAACGTCTGCACATTTACTTCAACAATTCATATGACAGAAACTCAACGAATTATCTGGTTGGACACACATGTAGCATGATCTTCATTCCTGCAGGAGATGATGGCAATCAATACCAGCCCACTGATTAATCTATGAGTTATGCTTCTGACTGATATAACAACTACTGTCCTTGTTGAAAACCAGTGCTATGCCCTATACGTACCTATAGGGGACTCTACTTCATACATGCACTGCCATCTTTGCTTGACTTCATCAGCCAACTGATGCATAATTAGTATTTCCCCAAATATAATGTAACATCCTAAGTACTGCAGGATGTTTCAGTTGCGTCAGGATATCACGCACGTTAACAACATGATGAAATCTGCTGAAGAAATTCCTTCCTTTGAAAGTTCATCATTATTTCATTTAGCTGTTATCATCTTGAACTTACCTGTGACTGAAGTATGCATCTTACTGTTTTGAATAGGCTGTAAAGTTATAAAATCTAGGAGCCAATTTCATACACCATAAGATTTTTGCATCTGTTAATTCTGAAATGAACTGGATTTTGAGGCCGATGTGTAGGTTGTACAATGTGGTAAGCATGGTGCTAGAACACACTCTTGCTGTATGTGTATGCAAGCTGCCTCCAGAACACCCTGGCTTGGGTGCCAGCCTGCTGCCAAGCACCCATGATTTTCAGAAGTTCATTGCAAAACACAGCTGCGTCAGCTAGGACTTCACCATGTGCTTTCAGAGTTAAACTTTATATTTCCTCCTCTGAGACAACCAGAAAAAAACTCTTTATCTGGTTACCTGTGAATTTCCTGCTACAAGCTTTTGTCACTGCTGTGGTACCTTGCAGTCCTCTCTGATGGAGAATCAGTTTAGCTGCTTGAGCGAGAGTGGAATGGAGTGGGGCAGAGAGGAGACAGAGGATTTCTCCAAGATCATAATGTGCTAGGGGTGGTGCTGGGCATCCTTAGTACTAGGCACCAACTTCTAAAATGCTTTCTCTCATAGAGTGGTAATTAATAATGTGTAATGATGAGTTAATCTCCAATGATGACTTCAAAGAAAAAAACAAATGTTTGTCTAAAATACATCTCTTGGTGGTTAACATCTGATTTTTGTGTTAAAGAATGAAGAAGGAAAAGATGACAGTGATCCTGGTGGTGGAATACACACTGAGAAGGTCTCCCTAAAAGCCAGTGACTCTATGGAAAGCCTCTATAGTCTGAACAGTGGCCAGAGCTCATCTAGTAAGTACAAGACATCCATACTTCTTGTTCAGTCACTGGATCAATATTGTTACTGTTTAAGTCTGAGGTATCAGAGCTGGTGATCAAAAATGTGATAGTAGAGAGCTCTTCGGTCTGGCAGACAAAAGTGCAATTCGATTAAATGTGTGGCAGCTAGGGTAGATATACCTCTCTCCAGAAATAAGCTGTGTGTTTTTATGAGTGGAAATATTAACTGAAGTAAAAAATAACATGGATGCTAGAGGTTGTTGCTGGTATATATGCCATAAATATTTTTCCGTGCTATGGTGCTGGCACCCATAGGATTGCAAACACTGAGTGGAGCCACACTAGCATCCTCTCTGAGGATAGAGGCCATGAGTTCATCCTTCACCCTGCAGATGTGAAGCAAAGTGAGAGGTTTCTGAGATGATGGGTGATGGGAGCCTGACCTAGTGGCTTCAGGCCAAGATGCAGAGAGACACAGTCTGCTTCTCTGCAAACCCACTGAAAACTCTCCCCCAACAGGGTAGTCTCAGTCAGAGGGCAGATAAATCTCTGACGAGAACTGGAGTTTGCTTCCACCTCTCTATTCATTGCTCTGCTGTGGACATTTGCTGACATTGCTGTGCCATCACTGCAGGCACCACTCGAGTGGCAGTCCAGACCATTTGCACTTAGTAGTTAATCTGGCCTTGAGACGGAGCTGTGCACTTAAGCAAACCACCTCAAACAAAACCATTTTTATGATCATTTTCTATGATGTGATTTGTGAAAATTGTATATGGGAGTTTACTTCCAACGCACTGCTGCTCTTATCTAAAAACATATTTGGATGGGATATTGCAGAGCTTGCTCAAATTTGCTTGAATTACTCTGCTGATATTTTATTGCTCAACTTGGATAAAATGACAGGCAGAAATGTTGATAAGATTAAAATTTCCCTCTGCAATGCAGGTTCTTTTGATGTTTCAGCTAGCTCTGTAATGAAATAAAATAACTTCTACAGTACTTGTTTTCATTTCTCTGAATAAACAGGAGAAATTCAGCAGAATTAATTCCCTAAATTGCACTTTTAGAGTACATTTTATTAATCTGCAGTGGTAATATTTCAGAAAGTCTGTAAGTAAAATGTGTAGTCTATTAGTATCATCACCAGAAAAAGATAATTGTATGGATGATGTTAATGAAAGATCTCCTACCTATTTTCTTCGGTCTCTTGTAGCATGCTTTTCATTGAATGCATTTTTCCTGGATGTGTCAAAA